TCGATTTATGCCGGTTTATGGACCCTTTTCAAACTGATGAACAGAACTTTAAATTTCTCTTCGACATAAAACGGCAATTAAAGAAATAATTGTCTGGCGTCGAAATAGGTTCGAGTTCCGTGTAAAGGCTGCTGTTTCAGATATCACGTTCTCAGTGACGAAAACCGCTATCATTAACGGCGTCATAACCAAACACCGCTGGAATACCCAAACCATGTCTTCTTAGAGCTTTTACTGGTTGTAAAAACTGAGGTTACTTCAAATAGGAATATTATATGCTACTACTTTCAAAGAAACTTGGACGAAAGTACTGAAAAAGACCAGCCAATATAAACTGGATTAAATTACCACCAAATTGATAGCGAAATGCAATTGGAAGTGATGCTGTTAATGAAAGAAGATTAATAACAAAACAAAATTAATCATTTTAATGACGAAAATTGCGGTTGTTCTTGAAAAAATAAAAACGATTAAGGATCCTCGCATTGTTATATAATAATGCAGCCTTGTGTGCGGCCATCTTCTTCAGGTAATGACTTATTCAAACTCTGACAGTCTGAAACACCTGTTCAATATTAGTGATATTGGTTCCACAATTTTGTTCTCCATACAAAATACAGGTCTACATTTTGTGGTTTCAAATTTCATTCCATGATTCCGTAGGGGAAATAAAATGTGCCACCGAGAAACCTAAAAGAGTTTTTGCCATCATTGTTCTAAACTCGGCCCATGAAGAAATAAATTTTACCAATATAACATTTGCATAGGGTAATTTGGAATAAATGAGCACAAGGGAAGTTTTCAAAAATTCTTTACCACGAGTGCAATTTATTCCAAATTGCACTAGAAAAATCATTTTATTAACTTTCTGCACTGCGTGCTCTCAGCCAATCTGCATGCTGATGTTTTTCCATATATATCATTAAGACGGACAATCAACTTAATATTTTATATTTGGATCGTTTAGATCGTTGAATTGGTTGGATTGCTGTTGGAACTTGTGGTCGATGAGTTGGTCGTCTTGATTTGTGGGGTTGGATCGGTAGATCTTTGGATATCGTCACATCGCTTGAACCGCTGCATCGATGGATTCTTCAACATTTTCGATCGTTTGATCGATGGATTGTTTGCTCGTTTTGATCGCTGGATTATCGCATCCACAATTTTTATTATATACATGTACACACGTGTATTAGAAGCGAAGAACACAGATTGCAAAATGATAACAGATCGAGGCGAACTGTACTGAAGAAAGACATCAAAGAAAACGGAGAAATTCTG